ATCTTACTTTATAAAAGATTGGTCTATCATTCGTAGACATAGAAAGTAAGTTTATATCTGCAAAGAGAATCAAAATCAAACTTTTTTGGCAGAAAAACCTGAAAAATATACCAGGCTTTCAGAGTAAAAGTAATTACGTGGAGGAAATCATAGAGAGGTGATTTATATCAACCAATATCATAAGGATCTATGGTCGATTGTTGATGTTATTTGTACATGTTGGCCAGACATGGGATCAATAAACTAAATTGTATATCAAAATGATGTACATCAGCAAAAATTATCAGTGACCCAGTTAGGAGTTACAAACCTATTTATGCTTTTGCCTTGGAGAGAGGGCACAATCTTTTAATAATGTATTATTATGTTCAAGATGTGAATCTGAAGCATTGATTGATATGGAAAAGTTTCATACTGCATTCCAAATTGGCATTTTTTCATATGGTAGACAAAAACATATTTCTGACCATTAAGTTTGCAGAGTAAGTGGCAAAAATACACATTCCTGTTGATTAATTCCTCAATGATAACTCCCAATTAGCTGGCTTTGAAGTCTTCGTTGATGGGGAGTCTTGTTACACCATGCTTATCTCTCTTTCCAAAATAGCTACATGTGGAGAGAGAGAAAGATACAGGGATAATGGCAAAGGCATATTTATACTAAGGGTGTTACAGATTTTGTTTTGATGACATGCCAGGCCATTATGTAAGTGTGAATGTTTAACAGTCATCTCTACATCACATCCTTGAAGCATGTTGCTACCACCCGCGGTTGTTTAACAGAGTGCCAAGAATCCCAGAGGTGAAGCTTTTGTGTTGCTGGAAAAAAATTACAGCAAATTTGTCCTTTCAAATTATTGTTGGGTTCATTTTGAAAAGAGACTTCATATAGACTTCAAAGAAAATTGTCTAGCTCTGGTACTTGTATAATTTTAGGAATTTTTTGTGATAAACAGTTGTTGGGTACCAACATGGTTCATAGAAAAAAGATTTTGCAGATACTATCAATGAAATCTTTGTTGGAAATATTTTCTGACAAGAAAATTGAAATTTATTTAAGAATTCTTCAGAAGCAATAAAATGATTATTTTTAACTAAAGATAAAAGAACTGTAGTGCTTCATGTTATGTAATTGAGTGCCAAATGAAGCCGATTAGGTTTTGATATTCATTGGCTTGTCAAGGCTATACATAAATCTTTCATTTTAACAAGAAATCTGTCAAATGTTTACATGCTGTTTTCTTGTCTAAGGTTTTCATAACAAATATAAGTTTTTACTGTTCACACCCCCTAAAAAACATTATACCCAAATCTTTTATAAATCATACATAATTTTGTGCTTGTATTAAATAAGTAGAAACATTAAGATATTTGACACTTGAATGGGTACCTGATTAAAACGACCATTAGTTTAATTTTTCATTTCTAGAATATGGCTTTAGGCTGGTACACGTTCATTTTTCTTTGCCAGGTTTTAGACCCTGAAGTTAAACTTTAAAAACATTATCTGTTTTTACTTCTTTAGTAAATTTGAATGCCACATGTAGTCATTTTTCAAACGTGTCTGGGTGCATGTTCCTAGTTCTTTCATGTTTATCTTGGTACAGGTTTAGATGTTCTATCAATTTAATTCTGCATCAATATGAATTTGTCTTGATTAGTGGGTGGCATTTATGTTTCCTGAAATTTCCATCTGGTAGTTAATATACTGACATTGATATGCTAAGATATTTCTTTTTGACAATATTGGTAAGTGCATAATGTTTTGCTGTAATTAAATGTTTGCTAGGGTGTGTCATACAAGAGGAAATAATTATAGAAAAATAAAGACAAGGGAAGCAAAAAATTTACCCCTTTTCTTGGCATCACTTTGCAATTATGCTATTAAATTTTCAAATAATTTTTTGAAAACATTTTTTTGGGGGGGGAGGGTTAAAAGTCTATTAATTTTTGTAAAGCTTTATCACCCGTAATCTATTGTGTTTCATTCACAGTGAAGCCAATAAACAGCAGCTTTAAAGTTCAAATGATCAATTTTTCAGGAAAAAAGTTAATGTTTCATTCATTGGAAAGCTCTTGTCCAAAATTGACTCTTTGAACTCCATTCATGCATCTACCACCTGGCTGAGAGATAAAAAAGAAGAGCATTCTGTATTGGAGTTTTATTGTCTGACACATGCTGACAATAAGATTGGAAGATTTTGTCGACATGGTCCATTTTGCTAGCCATAGGCTACTGGACAATGACAGACCACAGAGAAAGATAGCCTCACATTAATTCATCATAATTACACTTATCATGTAATAATCACAGGTAAGCGCCACTTCAAAGTGAGACAAACAGCATTTTTTATTTGATGATGGAAATGAAATTAGCATTAGGTTTTTGAAGGCTATCAGTGGGATTGATCTGAAGTTATGTCCCCTTTAAGATAAAGTTATGTCCCCTTGAAGATAAAATATAGATGATGAACAATGATTAGAGAGATTTAGATATAACTTTTTCTCTGTCAAAAATTTGATATTTGGGCTAATATTATTCAGAGAGAGAATTTTTTTGAAATTTTATTTGATGCAAGCAATTTTGCATCTATTTCTGCATCATTGCAGGAAGTGCTTTGTATTATTTTTATCTGTTTCCCAATAAATATTATATTAAGACTTTATGACAAATCTTTTTTGTAATTTTCTTCCTTGTCAGTTCCCCATCTTAATTCAGTAGGAAATGAGCCAGACAATGTCTCCCTTCTCTTAGAAAGCTCAGGCCTAATTAGGATATTTGAGAAATCTCTTGTAAAACATAGTTATATACCCAGGAAGAAGCCATTCTGAAGCAGTTGAATGATAAGATTATTCTTATTAGAAGAATTACATAAGAATTAATCCTCCCTATAAGCTTCCTCCCATCAATATTAGTCAGATTTATAACACCACGGTGTTGTGAAGCAAATGGAAAAGTGAGAAAACTCAACACAGATTAACAGGTGTTCAGGAATGTGAAGGTTTCATTTAGAAAAGGGAGATTACTCTTCTATCTCAGTAAGCGGCAGACTTTTGGGTCTTCTTGTTTGGACAGTATCGCGTTTTATCATCATGACATATGTTTTATGCATCCCTGATTTTGTAAATTCTGTTAACTGGTAAATGAAAATTTATGGGTGTATTGATAAATGTTTTAAAAAAAAAAATCATAATCTGAAATAATGTTTTTTTTTTTTAAACATTTTTGAGGGGTGAATAAATTACTGTGTGGCCTAGTTTTTTTTTCAAATACATTTTTGCAACATTTAATGTTGCAGTTACCATAAAGACAGAAGTGGTATTATAGCAGTAAATCCTTTGCCTTTTAAAATATACAAGTCTGACCACAAGGAATTTTCTTGACATGTTTAATCAAAATAAGGGTTCTCTTTTAATTCATTAGTTTTGATACAGGTACAAACATGTCAAAGCCATGATGAGCTTGAGTGTAATAATTAATCCAATTGTTGTATTGTTTCAGCAGATTAAACACATTGACATAAGGGTTGGTGTGAATTTAACCAAACTTGGTGTGGTAATCTTTCTGTGATTGGGTAGCCAGGATCAGGAACCCCAAATCTCTTTACAAGCATGATTTATCAACAAACATGGAAGTCTCAGAATTGCAGTTAAGACCACAAGCAGTGGTTTTTGTATTATTCTTGGCCTGTCCATATTTGTTTATTTTTGGTGATAAACCAGTTAGAGTTACACACCCCATATCTGATACTGTGTGTTGAGTTGCTGGCCCTGCCTCACGTAAGGTTATTTATTCTGATTGTAGTCGTAAATATTGTTGTTGTTACTGCAGATATCAGTTTACCATATTGTTACATCACTGTCAATATTTAGACTTCTCGGGACAAAATTTTATTGTGTTTGGTATAAGCTAAATATGTGTCCATCTGCCTTGGGCTATACAGTCTCTTGCTAACAAGATCAACTAAGAGAAATAGTTTTATTCAACTGTATCTCAGTTCATACATCTAATCAATTTTCTAAGATAATTTTTTTTGAAAAATTTACTTTAAATAATGCAAATTTACTTTTAATCTTAGATTTTTTTTTCTGATATAGAATATTTTTACTTTTAATTACTTTTTAATTTATTATTATTTTTTTTAATTCAGAAATTAAAAACATACAGTTAAACATACTTCAGCTTAATAATAAAACACTTGGAAGTCAACTTAATTATTAAATATACATAATATTATTCTCAGTGTAAGTCTTCCTATGTCCTATTGCTGCCGTCTGATTGGCTGATGAACTGTCAGTTATCAGCTCTGAGCGTGTGTCTCTCTCATACTAGGCCCACCCCTTTACTATCACATTGCCTTTTGTCATTCATAGATCTGCTTGGTAATGTGTTAGCATGTGCCCGTTTGTACACTCTATATTGTAATTTAGGAAATACATAGGGATTTGCCAGTGCCAGCGTGTAGACTAAGGGTGAAAAAAAAAAACTTTTGCTAGACATTGATTCTCTGACCATTATATGATAGGAACATGTGCTACAAGGGATTATTTCTATGGAATTGACCAGGTGGAAAAAGTTCTTTTATGACATATTTTGATTGGAAATATTACAAAGAGTATATTTGATTAGAGACTACATCAGGAGGTTCAGACAGAGTTTAAACTAGTGGTATAAAAATCAAAATGTGAGTGATTTTACAGCATGGTTTTCCAAGCATGTGTATTTATAAGGGATTCAGATGTTACTGGAAACTTTGTTTTGTATGTGCAATCAGGTTGAAAAGTGCTACAATTGTAAAGCTATCAGATTATTTTCTTGTGGCTTTAGACATTTTTTTTACTTCATTTTTGCAGTATTATTTATTTATTTTTTTTCGTAGAAAATTGCAAGATTTAGATTTCTGATAGGCAACTTTATTTATTAATGGCAACCTTTATCCATCCCCCTATCTTACCTTATCTGCCAGTTTTGCTGAAAATTTATTTCTTTTTTATTCCAGATCCCGACTAGAGATTTTGGACCTGACATATACTTAGCCAATCCCTGAAACTCTCTTTCTAGGGATAAAAAAAATTGAAAAGCTTAACAGATTTTGTGTGCATGCATAAGAGTTCCAGTTAAAAGATAGTGTAAATTTTCACATGGGATATTATTGAATAATTTTGGATATACTACACCTCTGATTTTATGTGCAGGTAAGTTACCTAAAGGTTCTTATAATCTGGTAGGGTGTATAGGTAATTTGAACCAGGACATATTTCGAGCATGGATGAAAGATATTCTTGTTTTGTCCCAGTTTGGAACAAAATACATTTACATGCAACACTGTGATTAAAACATGAGATGAGGTGTTGACACGAGAAGGGAAAAATAGCATAATTTGACTGACTTAGTCAATGCAGGTATTCTTCTGGAACAATACTAAGGGAAGATCTTTAACTTAACCTTAAACTACCTATGTATATTCACATACATTTGGGACCACCATGTAAGCAAATTTTGTACTCTTAAATCTTGCAAAACAATCGGGGGAAAAAATTAGGGTATCAGCTATTAAGTATGGTAGAGAGGAAAAAAGACAGATTTTTAAAAGGCTAATTAGGGGCTTCTGGGTGTAAAAGCATTAATCTTTGCTCTCGTGTTTACATGGCCAGTTGACCACATATGCTAAGAGTGTGGAGTGTTTCTGCTTCCATGCAATGGAGTCTTGCAACTTTGTTACCCCCCTCCTGAGCACCATTACATATCTGTGGAACAAATGTTTTCTTTTCTCAGTCTCTTTCTTTTGGTCAGTGTATGTATTATTCATGTTTCAGACTGTGAAAGATAAGATATTTTCTACTGTGCTTTATGTTTGTGAGTGATTCAGACGTGAACGATTTGCATATATTTTAATGGAAAGATTTTTCATGTTTGTTTGGGCTTATATTGTTTGTGTTTGTATGTTTGCCATCTGTTGTGGATAGTTTTAATTAGCTCTTAAAACCACAGGAATACATTTATATTTCATTAAAAAGCTCTTTAGTATGAAGTGAGGAAGCTTTAAATTTACATACAAATTCATATCATGCAACTTTACACTTTGTAATGCCAATTAATGCACATTCTTGAAAACTAGAAGAAAAAAAGATTTGCAGAATCTTGGTAAAGCTTCAATATACATGTTTTGGAATTTTAGCATTCCAACAAGATTGACATGCTCTTGGTTGCCTAAGTTTTGCTTGGCAATGTGGTCAGTTATTTGAATAAAGTTTATGTGAAGGAATTGTCAGCAGCAGATTGGGGTTATCAGCCAGAATGGGGGATGAATTCAGAATTTATCTATGCCTCCATGCAGTGCAGTGAGGTTTCCTGACAAATCTAGGCATGTGCATTTTATCAACCAAGTAAAACTCCATATTTTGTATATATGGAAATGCGGAAATCTGGAGAGAATACGGAAAAGAAATCCTTAAATACTCCCATCCACATTTTTCCCCATTGGAAAGAATTGCAGAGATTAACTACATGTCAAGCCACGCACTTGATACAAATTGCGATAAAATTTGCACCACTTTTCATATTCATACCTATCTGAATTGTACCAGTCAAACTTTGTTGTAGATCCCTATCTCAAGCCAATTTTCATTTCAGTAAAGACCTGCTGTTGAAATGTGTATCGCTTAATAATCTAATATTCAAATGTGCCTCCCGTATTTATTAACCACTAGAAAATTTTTTTTTGGCTTGTTTCTCTTAAAGAAGCCCATTTTTACATTGTTTTACACACATGGACAAAGTATTTTGTGCTGTTTTAAAGTGACTGACAAAGTTTTCAGGATCATAGTTGCCTAATTAAACACAAATCGGTCCCAAAGTCTTTTAACTCATGCCTCTCTCATTTTCCGCCAAGGATGAAAAGTTCTTTAAATAGGGAAGTACGCAAGTAGCATGGCTTTGTCTACATTTTTAATTTTTAATCCCAAGCAAAGCATCCTTTTGTCAAGTCCATGATAATAAAGAGCTCCTATACCATAGATTACATAAACATGAAAGGGTAATGTTTTAATTATTTATTAACAGAGAAGCTCTAATGCTCCCATCGCAGTAAATCACAGATTTTTCTTGACTTTGGAAATGCACTGACGGCCTCTTTCGTGGAGAAAATCAATTTTGAATGCAAAATCACCCTTTCAACTGATTTGAAGTGTTAAAACAAGTTGTTCAAGGAATTTTCATATTATCTTTGCATACCAATACATCAGAATCGATAGATTTTGATGTTCACTGTATTAAAGTCAATAAAATTTATAGTTGAATCCCTGAAGATGAAAGTCTTGATCATTAATTCAAAAAAATAATTCAGATATGTTTCCACTTTAAATCTGTTTAATCAAGTGATAGAGTTTTTTGATTCAACAAAATTAAGTCATTATTAAACAAGCTGCAGAAATAATCCACAGTGTTGTTTCTTCATGAAAGAAATAAAAGAGTCTTTGCTGTACGTAGCAAAGAAAAATAGGACATAGCCAGTTTATTCACCATAAAATCTGCATGAGAATAGACCCCCAGTCTTTGAACCAGCTACTGAAAAAAAAAAGAATCCCAAAATCAATACGAACATCAAGTATCTTTCTGTGAGTATAACTGCCAATTCTTTTTTTCCCCATTGATAACGCTGGCACACTTTTCCTATTTTTACCCTCTTAATTTTCTCAATAACCAATATCCATAAGCCGATGGACAAATTGACACAGGAAATATAAGCATGGAGAAATGTTTGGTCAGATGGCCTTCACAGACCAGGATTAGAAAGGACAAAGCTCGGACTGTTTGAATGGCTCCGTCTTTATGACCGAAATCTCGAGTGCATTTACCAGTGCCAGGTTCCATTTGCTTTGGATATGGACGGAGCTTCTACCAATATTTTTCGAGAATATTATTATTTGGGAAAAGCTTATCTATTTGAATTACTGGCCCTTGAAGGTAACGAATATTAAAACATTTTCTTCAGTGTGTGAAGAGGTCAGTTGATTGTAAATCAAGGGGTTTTATCACTAAAAACGTTATAGGGTCTGAATTGATCGTCCATGCTGCTGTAGATTTGTTCCTTTATCGTTTACAATGGCTCATTGCAGTCGTCTGACCAGACACATTTGCTTCTGACACTCCAGAAACTGTGTGATATATGTGTAATGCCAAACCCAGAAACTGCTGTTCAATACAGGTAGAGCAAGCCCCCAAAAAACAAATGGTCAGAGACATAAATATTACCTCCCAGACTACTTTATTTTTTTGTGTTACATGAGGAAACTTGACATGTTTTTTTTTATTATTTAAGGGAAAAAGGGATGATTTTGATGTGACAGTCATCTTTTGCTTTTGGCAGGTTAACATGGATGACCTTATAAAGGCTAGGAACATACAGACACTATTTTGTATTTTAAAGGATGATTTTTCTGATGAATGGGAAAAGAAGGAGATAAGATATTTTTTTTATTGTAATAGAAAGATAGGGAAAACCTATATATATAAGCACAAAAATAACTCATAATGTGATTTAAGAAGCATGTAAACCAATTCTTCATTGGACAATAAGAAAAGAGATAATTTGGGACCACAGCCTACACAAAGGACATGTAGATTTTAATAGACTTTGAAATGTTGTATTATCTTAATTGTTCAACACAAGAGAAAATCAAATATAAATGCAAAAATTATGAGATTAAGTTGAGATTGTAGAGAAAAAGTTGTTTAAACCCTCCTCTCAAAGAAATGATTTGGTTAATTGAATACGGACCCGTAATTACAAAACGACAGTAAATTTTCATAAAGCAGGCAGGCGGAGAACAAAAAAACAAATTCGCCAGGGTCTCTTCTTCCTAAATAGTGTATTTTTGGGGACATTTGCATGAATTATTAATGCTTGATTGAATGTGATTCACACCAAATTTGCCTAGTTAAAGTAATGGCAGAGAAAGACAATTGAAAATGCCTCCAGTTTATTCAATTTTTCCTCGGAGATATTGCATTTTATTGAATCTTTGAAGGCATTAATATTGGTTTGTTCATTAATTCCATGAGAGTTCAACTTTTCTTTGTCTGGACAAAGTGTAACATGCAAAACTGTGGTCAATGGGAAAATACACCCTTCCCCCAATAATTTTAATTTAAAAAATGGATGCACAGTTTTAAAACAGGAAAAAGTTACATAAATTCAAGAAATCACAATCCTCCCTCCCCCCCTCCCCCCCCCCCCTTGTTGACTTGACATCCAAAAAATGTGAACACATTTTCAAGGTGCAAAGATTTTCAAAGAGGTTGTAGTATGAACTTGATAAGCAGGTTTTCTATTTATTTACTTGATGCATGGTCTTTCCTCTCACTAACTTTGTGGTAGACCAGTGTACAGCCTATTGATTGCACATTGAGGACATGTGATATGGCTACCATAGCACTCTGTGCATTGAAGCTGGAGCAGTGAACATGGAATCAAGTTGTTTTGCAGGCCTGATCTCCGAGCAAGATCAGTGAGGGGTGATGAGATGTACAAGTGAGCCTGATGGAGGCAGCATTGTTCAGCTGCAATTAGACCATTTCACACACTGGGTTTTAGGGAAAAGGGGAGAAAGTGCAGGGAATGGTGTGATAAGAGTGAAGATCTTTTTTTTTTTAGCAGGTCAGAGTTAAGGCTTAACAAACTTCATCTCTGATCTATTTTTAGTAGTCACTGCTTCCATCAACTTTCATATACCTTGGTAAAAATTTTTAAAATTTAAAATACTTGTACTGATGAGTGCTATTTTGTGGTGGAATTTTGTTATGTTTTACACTACTTGGAGCAAAGACCCAGCCTATCCTTACTTTATTAAACGGGTAGTGGTAAAGAGACCTCTACATAAACATCAAACAGTCTGAGAATTACTTACGTTAACAATCTTGAGAGGTGACAACATTCTATGATTGAACAAAGAATTTGAAGTTTATTTTGTATTGTGCCATGTTTCTTTGAAATTACAAAGATTTTGTTTACTTTGTTCATGGCATCCAGTTGTGAAGTCATCAGCAAAAGTAACAGTCTGAGTTTAATGACCACTTTAAAAAGTCCTTGGTTTATTCAAACGGTAGAAGATTAAAAAAATCTGTGGCATGTTTTATTTTCATAGGTGTGGAAAATGCAAAAAAAAAGTTTTTCAAGGTTTTTATTGTTCTGAAT